AGATGGACTGGAGGGAGGGATCTTCTTCTTTAGGCTAGGCCTGATAGAGCTGGGCCTACCTTTTTACTCTTTCCAAGGCCGGATGATGGCAGATGGCCTGGAGCTGCTTGTCTGCGAATGTGTGAATTCTCTGTGTGTGTTTAATCCCCCTTAATAAAATATAGTTCTGAGGGAATCTCGCCTCTGCAATTTTTTGCCTCTGACCTCTGTAAACATAAAGACAGACCCCAGGGCTGAGTAACCAAGCCATAAATGAGCTAAATTAATATTTCCCCTAAGTTCCAGGTTACAGAGGGCATGTGGATTCTAACAGGCTGCAGCAGAGGGAGAGTCAAGACAGATGATCATTGCCTTGTTGGGATCAAGCAACATTTGGCTCCTTGCTCCCCATAATTGGCTCTTCAATGAGCTTTCTACTCTGGACCCTCCATTGCTGTCTTCAAACAGAGGTGATTATTTGGCCCAGGAGTTATTGTTGGACAGCAAATCCCATTACTACATACCATGATCCTTGAAGGCTCATGGGTGCTTCTGTCTACTGATCCAGTGGTAGCTGGTAGCTTCCATGGGAATCCTCTATACTGGGATAGGCAACTGTTGGAGGCTGGGGGGGGATGCATTATTCCCCTAGGATACCTTGAAGGTGCACCTCCCATATTGCACCTCCCCATAGCAATATTTTGCTCCCCACTGCAAAAATAAATAATCCAGTATTTTTTGCCTCCAGTTATCTCCCAGTGCACTCAGGGGACTGGAGGGGGGCATTTTTGCCATGTTTTAAAGCTCCTCTAGGCCATTTTAGGTCCAGGAGAGGCCATTTTTCAAAACAGGAAACATCCAGAAGTCACATCTGGTTTACTTCTATTTTGTTTTTAACTAGTTTTTTGTTAAAGGTCTTTCTTGGGCTTACAATGGCCTGGTGGGGAGGGAGGGATCCAAAATGGCAAAAATGCCACCCAATGTCTATTAGAGAGCATTTGAGGATATGGCCCCTGGGGACCCCTGAAGGCCACAAAGATGGCCCTGGGGGGTTGTATGCCATAGACCACAATTTTGTCCACCCCTCCTCTATAGGTTTTATCTGAATTTTAAAGGAACTATCCAAGGTCTTGGAGAGGTTTCAGCACCTTGGACAACTCATTAAAATTCAGCCTTTACTCCAGAGCAGAATTGCTGCCGTACGACATGAAATTCACAAACTGCCACTAGGAACATCTGAAAAGCTAGATTTCCTTCCCCATCTTAGTGGAGGCATGATTCTCCATCTACAATTTACAAGACCAATGCTTTTATGACCTTTCAGATGCTTTGCATTTCCAGCTTGCAAAACTCCTGACCATTGGCTATGCTGGCTGGTGGATAAACATTGAGAAGCTCTGTAGTCATGCAATTATTTTATTTGATCTTCTGCTAGGTAGAGAAAGAGTTAGTATCAATACAAAGAATAATAAAAGACTTGAAAGAAGTTGCTCATAAATTAGCGTTCGCAACCATAATGGAGAAAGTAGAACCCAAAATCAAATCAGACTTTTCAGACTTATTGGGCATTGAATGCTGAATGATTATTTGAAGGTGAATAAAATATCAAGGGTGAAAGATAATGTCATTGGAATGGAGCATCTTGTACAACTCAGGTGCAGGTTATCTGAAGGGCTACATTCTCTCATTCAAGCCTGCCTGTGTTTTAAGTTCTCCTGGGAAGGCCCTTCTTTCTATTTTACCACTCTCACAAGTACATCTGGCAGAAATAATGCAGAAGAGGGTCTTCTCAGTGGCTGCTCCCAATCTCTGGAACTCACATCCTAGAGAGGTTAGATTGGAACCCTCCTTGGCTGCATCTGCATTGACACCACTTTAACTGCCATGACTCCCTTCTATGAAATCCTGGGTTTACAGTTTGTTGTGGCACCAGTGCTCTCTGACAGAGAAAGCTAAATATCTCACAAAACTACAAATCACAGAATTATTTGGCATGGTGTCCAACTGCATTTTTTTCTGCAATGCAGATGCAGCCAAGGAGGGTTGCAGTCTAACCTCTTTAGGATGTGAGTTCCAGAGACTGGGAGCAGCCACTGAGAAGGCCCTCTTCTGCATTATTTCTGCAGTGCGGATGCAGTCCCTGTTACCTTTTCCTTCTTGTTATGGTTGTTGTATACCATCAAGTCATCTCTGACTTCTAGTTACCCTAAGGTGAACCTACTGTGGGTTTTTGGGGGGCTGAGAGCATGTGACTTGTCCAAGATCACTCAGTGGGTTTCCATGGCTGAGCAGAGAATCGTACCCTGATCTTGAGAGTTGTAGTCCACCACTCAAACCACTTTGCCACCCTGGCTCTAGACAGGTGAAAAACTTTTTGGTTTGACCAAGCTTTTCAGGACAGATTGCTCATAAGGAAAAGCCTTTTAAAATGTGCTGTACTGTTCTTATGTGTTGCTTTCTTTTTTTTCTTTTTTTAATAGATGTGCTTTTGAAAATTCTACTGATCTGGTCATTTAATTATATATTTAACTTTTGCATGATGCTTTTTGAATTTTGTGAGTCGTCTTGAGGCCTGGATTAGGAAAAGGGAAGGGAGAGGGAGAGGGAGAGTAGAGAAGGGCTTGAGTGGTGCCTAGGCACTCTGTACTGCAACATTTTTGTTGCAGGTCCTGTTTCTCTCTTTTTAATTCTCTCCAAGCTCTCTCCTCCTGCTGCTTTCTTGCCTTATCCCAAGCTGACCCACTGCTCTCCTCTCCTCTACCAGCTGGTCATTTCAGCTGTTCCATTGATCTCTCATTCAGTCTGGCTCTCCTGATCTCTGACACAGTGGGAAGCAAAGCGACTCCAGGGAATCAGCAAAAGCAGCAGCTGACAGCCCCAGCAATACGGGAGTGAATCTGGGAGAAGCTGAAAGCAAAATGCAAAGCAAACTTGCCATACCCTTTGCTGAGGAAGCTTTATTTTGAGCTGCTTTTCTGCAATGACTTTTTTTGTTTATTAGATTTTCATTTCTATTATTATTATTATTTTTACAGATTAATATAATTCAGCATTGTATATAATACTGTTCTTGGCAAGGGTGACTTAGATCAAGCTGTAAAAAGAAAGGGAAATAAAAATCTAAAGCGAAAAAGTCAGTGCAGAAAAGCATTGTGCACAATACTTAGTACATCAAGTACATACACATTGGGTACATAATACCATACTTAGTACATAATGTACATAAGCAGAATGCATTGTACATAATGGACATAAGCTGGCATGGTGTAGTGGTTTGAGGGCTGGACTGATATTCTGGAGACCAGGGTTCAAATCCTGGCTCAGCCATGAAAACCCTCTAGGTGATCTTGAGCAAGTCACACTCTCTCAACCTCAGAGGATGGCAATAGTAACCCCCTTCTGAAGAAACATGTCAAGAAAACTCCATGATAGGTTCACCTTAGGATTGCTATAAGTTGGAAATGGCTTGAAGGCACACAACAACAAAAACAACAACAAACATAATACATCACAGCAGGAAAAAATGAATGTTATTGAAACTGCACTTTGCCGAATCCCATAGACTACAAACCTGGGAGCTGTAGTCTAAAAAACCCTAAATGTAAGCTCTGTCTTAGACATTATAAATACAACATCAGGAAAATAAATCAGTTTTGATTTTGTGACATTTTCCGAAATTTCTCTTGCATTTCCTTCCCACTTTTGGTATGCATCAAGTTGCAAGACTTTGCCTTTTATCTGTCAGCATTCATTTATGCATCTTCCCTAACACCTGCAATTCTCTTATTGACTAAAAGATGCTTGGTATATATTTCTTAAACTGTATGTAGTTTTTTTTTTTAATCATGTGCAGTTTAAAACCAGCACATTGTTTTGTGCATGTTTTATTTGTCCAAAAAGCACCCAGCAAGCATTGCAAATGTGCAGATTCTTGAGGTGAGCTGAGTTTTTTTCTTTCTCATAATGTGTCTGGGGAGGTGCAAAAAAGGCTACTTTTGTCCAAACTGTCGACGCCAATAAAATTCTTAACCACCCCTAGGTCTGGCCAAGCCGATTCCAGAGACCAATGTTGCCTTAGGGATTTTTTAAAAACAACTGATGTGGGAATGCCTGAACATATCTTCAAAATAAAACCCCTCCTTTCCTTGAAAAGATAAGAACCTCTTCCCTGTCCTCCCCCCCCCCAAAAAAAAGACCATTATAAAATTATGGTTGACAGATCCTTGCAATAGCAGCTCTTTTATCAATTTAACACTGATCCATGCCGAGAAGATTAATCATAAGTTTGCTAAGAGAGATTTATAGATCATTGTAGGATGGGGTAATCTATGTGAAAAGGCTCGTAAAAACTTAACTGCATAGCAGGAATAATCTGTGGGCTCACAGAGGCCATGTCAGGGCTAATTGAAATGTTTAAGAGCAACCCACCCGTTTTTCTGACTCTTTGGGATACATAGTAAAAGCACATCTCCCGACCATCCCTTTGTCTTGGCTCAGACATATATTATCTCGCTATATCATAGTTCTGCCACCACCGATTCCTAATTGCAAAAAACCTTTCGACACAGGGCAAGTAATAATTGCAGCGCCATGGCCTGCCTAATAATAAAGATAATTTACTGTTCAAAAGTGAGAGGTAATTTGTAACAGGAATGCCTTTTTTTTTTAGTCCTCATTTTAAAGACTCAGCTAGCTACAAAACAGGGTCTTTCTGTTGTCACTGCATCCACATAGAGACACATGTCGAACATGAACATAGAAATAATTCCTTCCTTCCTTCCTTCCTTCCTTCCTTCTTGCTATGCTGACAGGTCAGGAGGAAGAATTAAGCTTGATAGAGATCTTGGAAACATACCAGTTAAACAAATCCTGGCCATGGGATTCTGGAGTCTATAGTTCAAAAATGTAACTTTGCAAGTGCTGCAAAAAGTAGTTACCATTACATCTATCTTTCTATCTATCTGCCTCTCTAGTCCTTAACTTTCTCATGTTTCAAGGGTAACAAATAGTTACTAAGTATGTAGAGCGATTCTGTAGCACCTTTGGGACTAACTGAAAGAAGTTGACAGCATGAGGTTTCTTAGGACTTTTTCACATGGGGGAAATCCTGTGGAGAAATAGGATTTAAAAGCTAGGGAAAATCCACAAAAGTGGGATGATTTTCACACACATGAGTGGAAAGTAGTCAAAAACCACCTCTTTTTACATTCAGGATTTTCCAAAAGTAAAAAGAAGCAGCTTTTGACTACTTTCTGTTCAAGTTAACAACAGATTAACAATAACGTCGTGTGAAAATCTACCTGCTTTTGTGGTGGTTTTTCCGAATTTAAAACCCCGTTTCTGCACGGAATTTTGCCCGTGTGATAAAGTCCTTAGTCTTTAGTCTACAAAAGCTCATGCAACTCCTCCATCCTTAACTGCTATGGTCGATACCTGGGAAGGATGAACACTGTAGTTCAACACATCCGGAAAATACCATGCTGGGAAAACTGATCTATTTTTATTTACCTGTCCTGATACTATGACATTTATTGTTGTCACAGAGGTCGCAGATCTCTTTGCCAAGTGATTGAGAACCCCAGAGAGAAAGAGAAAATACTCTAGGTCTTGAAGGATGCTTTGTAAAGCAGCTGACCTCACTGTCTGGATCTTGTTACACCTGTGGTTTTCTTTTCCTTTTCTGTCCCTAAATGACTCTGCAGACTGCCTTGAAGAATCTTTAAGCCTGAGTTATGCCAAGGAAGGTTATTTTAGCATTTGGCTTATATTACACAACTAGGGACCATTCAGTCCATCTCTCGCACACACATACACACATACACATTTATTTTCCTCTATTTTTTTATTTGTAGCTGTTCAATTTTTCCCTCTTGAGTCTATCTGGCCATGATAGACCACTTCTGCTTTCAACTCACCACCCACATTGAAGGGAACGAAATCTCGGCTTTGAAAAATGTTGAGCATCATTTGGTGGTTTTAAAGGAAAGACCTTCTGGCTGAGAGAGCACTCTGAGATTTTTTTAAAAAACAATTAAATTATTAATATTATTATTATCTGTTGGTTTCACTGCCCACCTGGTGTTAGTGACTGGAATTTGGGGCATCAATGAGGTGGATTCTGCCCAAGAATCTAGGAATCAGTCAAGATAATTATTCAAGTGTAGCCATGTCGGCCATATAGCAAAATACAATACCATACAAAATTCACAAGACAATGATATCTTTATTGGCCAATCCAAAATGCACAAAATACAGGTTGCAAGCGTTCAGTGGCTTCTTTATGAAGCAAAGGTGTTAAAATCACATGGGGGGGGGGGATTATGATATTAGTGGAATCTCAGGTCTACATTTTGTCAAGACGTTGCTCTGGTTGTTGTCTTGAAGGCTATCCACACAGGCAGAATCTATACCTCTCTTTGGGTAATTATTATTGGATAATATGGCATGTTCCAAGTAGTGTCACTTTGTGTAACTGTGTTCTTGTGAGCCTACTATGGTGATTTCATTCAGAAGTTTTGCCAGTCCATCTGGAGTTGCTCCCAGGTTACCTATCACCACTGGAACCTTGGTCTCCAGAGTTAGTCCAAGGCTCAAACCACTACACCATGCTGCCTCTCTCACTTGAACACTACTTGGTGATAATGCCATGGTTCTTACATTTGTATTGCCAACCGTCAACTTACAGGAGCAGATGTATGTATATCAACAATGCAATATCTGTCTATCTATTTATCTATCTATCATCTTTAAACTACACACACACACATTTCTCCTCCACAGTACGGAGGAAGTGACTTTAAAGTTTCTATACATGCTACATGAGGTTGCTTAAAGATGATCCAATCCACAAGAATCTTTTCCAGAAATGATAAACACATAGGAAGAATACAGCTCAGCACTGGGATGTGAAATCATATTTTTAAAATCAGAGTGAACAAGATTATCCAAATGATGTTTTTTTTAAAAAAAATGTGGATTTGAAATTATGAATGTGGATTGTTTTAATGTGTGTATATCTCATTTGTCCTTTTAAACTGATGTACCGTATGTTGTAACTGATGTGTTTTAACTAATGCTGTTTGTTTGTTAATTGACGTTGTCCCCTGCCTCGATCCATGGGGCGAGGCGGCCAAGAAATAAATATTATTACACTTGTCCCTCCACATTTTCTGAGGATGGGGGCAAAGAACCCCGTGAATGTGGAAAAACTGCAAATATATAATAACAATAATAATAAAATTTTATTTTTACCCCGCCCAATGGATACCCAATCAGGGCGGCTTACAAGTTTAAAATCATAATCCCCATAAAACATATTTACACAAGACCCTTCCCTTATTTTTATTACATAGTAATAAAAACACTATGTTTTTCCCTGAGAGAACACATCTCTAGGAATTTCTAGGTCTTTCAGTGCAACTCTGGTCAACATCTGCCAGAAGGCGATCATAAAATCTTGTTGAAGGACCTACAAATACCTAGAGAAGTATTCTCTCTAAGAATCTCTAGGTCCTTCACTGTGACTTTTGGTTAAAGTTGACCACAGAGCTGCGCTGGAGGACATAGAGATTCCTAGAAAGAACATATTATTAAAATCCGTGAATAATCAAATCCACAAAAGTCAAAGCCACAAATGTGGAGGGATGAGTGTATTATTCGTAGTGATAGTAGTAGTAGTAGTAGTATTGATGAATTGTCTTGGAGCCATTGAATAGTCATTTGGCTAAATGGGGTGCATTCCAGTACCAATTGCATCTGATTTAAAAAAAATAGTCAGGTTTGGGGCTGGTCAAAACTAATAATAATAATAATAATAATAATAATAATAATAATAATAATAATAATAATATTTTATTTATACCCCACCTTTAGCCAAGGCTATCAAGGCGGCTTACAATTTAAAATTTAAAATACAATTTAAAAATACAATCCCATACAATGTAAAGGACATATCACCCCTCCTTAAAAATACGGTATATTAAATCCATAACAACATTAAAATTTAACTTAAAACAAATTAAAAATCTAATACAATTAGACAGGGCACACTGATTATAAAGGAGTGATCTAATGGCAGGGGAGAGATTGTGGAAAGTATCATTCTGGGAATGCCTGCCGGAAGAGATCCGTCTTGATGGCTATTTTTGGATGGTGGTCCAACAGTTCATACCAAAGTTCATCAGGACGGGTTTAAAATTTGTGTGTGTGTGTGTGTGTGTGTGTGTGTAGGTGCCTTCAAGTCACCTGTTGAATTTCATAGGGTTTTTGTAGACAAGGAGTACTTTGGGATGGTTTTGCCAAGATGGATGCAAGCTCCAGGAAAAGAG